GCGCAGTGCCCTTGAGCCCCCGCGCTACGGCCTTTGTCTCCCCGCGGAGGCGCTGACCACGAGGCCCGGGGGTGGGGGTGGGGTGGGCGCTCGGCCACCCGGCACCTACGATTCCCGAGGCCAGAACGGGCCAGCCAGGGGCGAGCTCTTCTGAAAAGTGTCGCAGAATGCACTGACGCATCTTTTTTTCTCTTTTAAACCACTGATGTGAAAGAGGGACTGCTGTTGGGAAGAAATCAAGTGAATTAGATAGGAGACCCTGGACTGTTCAGAAGGCTAGAGGAAAAAAAAATTGGTAGTTTACCGTTAGTTGTAATTGTCTGGTTTTGAATTAAACGTTTATCCTTTTTAAAAAAAAATACAATACTTGTCTTATTATAAATAAGACAAATTAGAAAAGATATTCGTGTATTTTCGCCGTGTAATGCTGTCTCAGGTACCAATAGGCAACAATCGTAGCAAAGGTTTTCTAGACTAACTTGTTTAGAACAGATAGGGTTAGGTGTGTACAACTAAAAGCCTGAAGCATAAATCTTTCGGATTTGTAGCTGTTTGAGACGTGCATTACCTACGTGGGGGATGAAGTCCAAGCAAATCTTGTGTTTATCTACCTTTTTTGTGTCATGAAAACAATTTTTTAACTGTCATGCATTTTTCTAGTAATAGCTCTTCAAGTCTGCAATAAAAATGGCCTCCAATAAAACTACATTGGTAAGTTAATTCAAACCTAAAACATGTAAGGATCTGTTTTTTTCCCCAAAAATTGTAACTGCATCTCTGTGGTTGAAAAATTTGAATCTATGTATTTCCCAGCTCCCTTACTGGTTTTATGAAGGAGAATTGGGGACAAAATGAAATGGTTACCATTGTGATATTATGGACTTGGCTTAAAAGGCTGAAAATTCATTTCAAAAGTCAAATTTTAGACGTTTTGCAATAAAACGACACATTTAACATGGAAGAATGTGTTGATGTAGACGAAGCTTTATTTCACTTAGGTTTGTATTGCATTCTGGAGAAGTCAGGTATGTTATTTAAAACTAGTTACTTTGTGCAAAGTTTGCATCCTTTGATTTTCTAGCAAGTTAATACAGATGTATAAAAACCATGTACAGGCCAGGGAATTAGCTCAGTGGTCAAAAGGGCAAGGTCCTGAGTTCGATCCCCGGTACCAAAAGAAAAAAACCCACGTACAAATGTATTTAACCATGTGAAATTACAAGTTTTTTAGAAAAACATCCAGATATTTATGTAAAAGTCATTAAAGTTGACCCCATAGTGTTTAATTCTAAGAAAGTATAAAGGTGTTAACACCTAGGTAAAGAGCAGATACTTGGTTTTCCCTTGGGTTTCCCACTAAAAGGGGCAAGTTGATTTTTAATGTGTGCCATCATTGGATTGTAAATATCAAATTCTCTGGAAAACAGATTGAGGTATGTAATGTAAAGTCTGTCTTGATAAATCTGTGGTAGATTATATAGGTTGAAAAACCAAAGCATAAAGCATTTCCTGTGCTTCTTCAGGATTGAACCTTCAAATTCCATAGTAAGTCAAAATGCATATAATAGAATTGGCTTTACCTGTAGCCTTTGATGATGCAAATGGGTACATAAAACAAGTGGATGCTTTTTGAAATTAAGATGCTTTTACACAAAATAGGGTAGCCTTTAGTGTATATAATTTATTGGTATTTGTTTTCCCTTTTTTTGTAAAGGGCCACAGATTGGCCTCTTCAAAAGTTTTTAATCTAAATTTATTTTAAAATGAACTTTTGCTTACCCCAGTTTCTTTGCTCTTTCTACTGTCACTCTTCCTTATACTGTACAGAGACAGAAAAGTAATTGGGTCCAGTTTTTAAAGTTTTTGAGTGATAAAATCTAGGCTTGGCTTGGTAATAGAATCCCAACAAAATCAAATGTCTTTTTTTTTTTTTTTTTTTTTTTTTCTTTTATTTTTTTTTTTTTTTTTTTTAGCTTCTAAAGAATTTTTATTGATATATTAGTGTGTATACCCTTGTGTGTTTTCATAGCTTCAAATGACCTTTTGCAGTCTTGAGGAATTGCTATTTTAAGCATGCTTTTGTGGAATGTTTTTAAGGACTAGGAAATTGAGTTGGTTTTAGTTTTAGAAATCAGATTAATTTTTTTCTTTTGGTCTTTTGAAGTATAATAGCATTGTAGGTTTGCTCCAAGTGGTCAGGGAAAACTTAAGTCATGGTCTCCATTGTTGACCCTACAGTTTCTATCAGGGTTATAAATGTTTTCATTTTTTGTCCATATCCTTGAGGCTTTTAATATTGAAGTCTGAATTGGAAAAGATATTATGACTATCTTGGGGCTACAGGTTTATCAGATACACACTATGGGTTCCCTTAGTAAGACCTGTCACTACTATTTACTTTATTCCTTGTAGTGTTCAATAAAACTTTAGTCATGTTTCTGTGGTGCAGTTAAAATAAAAAGTTTGGTCTTTTAGATTAGGAAAAGTAACAGTATTTCTAGGTAGTGTTTTTTTGATTCTGTCATGTGGTGAAGATTGTAAGATCCTAAGTTGGAGCTGAATCAGTGGAGTGAAGCGTTCCTTTATTGTCTGTTGACTTCTTAGATGTCTGTCTTGGGATGTACAAGTAACAGTTTGTCATAACAATGATAAAGGAAATTTAGCCTTTAAAGTCTATGCGTCTTAACTTTCCTCTTGTTTTGTTTTAGCAAAAAATGGGAAAGAAACAAAATGGAAAAAGCAAAAAAGTTGAGGAAGCAGAGCCTGAAGAATTTGTGGTAGAAAAAGTACTGGACCGTCGTGTAGTGAATGGGAAGGTGGAGTATTTTCTGAAGTGGAAGGGATTTACAGAGTAAGAGACTTTGTTGTTGTTGTTGCTAGTATTTTCAACTGCACTTTAATGGACTTATTTTTAGCCTGGATCTTTTGTCAGTTATCCCCTAGGTAAGTTTAAATTTAAAGAAGCCTTTAATTCTGGGGTGTCTTGTTTGAGGTTTGGAGTCTAGTTTATTACCCTGGAGAGATTATTATATAATGTGTTTTAATGTAGTTAGATATTGTGTGAAGTGAAATGTCTAATCTACTTTGTTTTCTTAAGAACAGAGGGCACTAAAAAATATTGAAACTACAATTAGACCGGGGGTCTTAAGCAGAAATATTTGTAATAATCTAGATCAGTAGTGGCACATGTGCTGCAGCAGGCTGTTTGTGTCTTTGAAAGCTCTAAAAGGTTTGCCATCACGGGTGAGGGTCCTTAAATTAAGTTTGCAATCTCTTTAAGAGCCAGGGCATTTTTTTAATGCCTCTGATTTCCTGGTATCCCTTATTATGAGTTGATCACATACCCATTCTTTTTAAATGTTAGCTGTCCTTCACATAACTCAAACATGCAGAGATTATTCTCTTTGCACTTTTCTTTATTATGCCATTCTGCTTGTATTCTACCCTATATCACAAAAACAAAAAAGTTCAAAAATCAATGACAATTAAAAATGAATTTTCTAAATATTGTGGATTAAGTTTCAAATATCTCTTATCTCCTACTTCCCCCACTGTTCACATTTAAAGCTTCCTCATAGCAGTTTGGAAGTTATCTCTTAACTGGACTATGTTCTTATTTTTATCCTTAACAGGTAGCAAAACCAAGTAAAGTAAATCTTTGAGTTATTTAAATTTAGATATAACCAGTTCATCAGAGCTGATTATCTTCAAATGGTAGGTAGTTTTTATTAGAATCCCATGGGACATTAAAAGCTGTCTCCATCTTTTACCCATTAAACCATTATGAAAGAAATGGACTTGTCTGTCTTTTCTTTTCAACATCTTGCAGATGTAGTGCAAAAGCAGCAATAGATAATGCATTAAACAAATGAGCATGACTGTATTCCAGGAACACTTCATTTATGTCCATTTTGTATTTTTATTTTGAAATTTTTCCCCCCAATCATTTAAAAATATAAAAAAATAGTATTAGCAGCCATAAAGGAGGCTGGCTTTGACTTTTGATTTCCCTGTCCCCTGTTGTATATCAATTCTACACTTGCACACTTACCAGAAACTGAAATTATCTCACATTTCAGAATACTTCTAAGTCATTGTTTTAAAACACTAGTGGAAATAGAGTGTTGGAAGTCAGGAGTAAGAGGATTGCCCCAAGTTAAAGGCTAACTTGGGCTACATAGTGAGTTTAAGGCCAGCCTGAACTACATAGTAGCAAGACCCTTTCTCAAAAAACAAAACTATTGGAGGTAAGTGAGTTGTGAAACTTGGAAAAATAAGTAGCTTCATTTACTCTTGAGTCAGATCCAGTTACCTCCTGGGTAGAATAGCACATTGCCCACTTAGAACTGTGAAGGCAAATAATAAGTAAAGTAATCTAGACAAGTTCTCTCAAAAGAATTTCTGAATTAGGGAACAGCTAGTGTCTGGCACAGGAAAATTTTTTCCCAGATAGCTATAAATCTAGGTGATGGTAATGAATCATGTTTAATTGACTCAGTATTTTTTTTACTGACACAGTGCTGACAATACATGGGAACCTGAAGAAAATTTAGATTGTCCAGAATTAATTGAAGCATTTCTTAATTCTCAAAAAGCTGGTAAAGAAAAAGATGGTACAAAAAGAAAATCTCTATCTGACAGTGAATCTGATGATAGCAAATCAAAGAAGAAAAGAGATGCTGTAAGTATAATACATTGCCTGTTAGACCAGTTTTTTGTAAAAGGTTTTGACTTGAGTATTTTAAAGACTTTAAACTTTTTGTTGTTACTGGGGATTGAACCTCAGGTCTTTGTGCTTGTGAGTCAGGTGGTAGAACCACTGAGCTGAATTCCTTGCCCTTAAACTCATATATTCTTTAAATGCAACTGAAGCCTTTTATAAATGCTGAATATGTAGGTTAAAAAAAAGTAAGTGTGGGTTAGCATACTTTTTATACCACTTAAAATGCACTACTAGTGCTATTTTTAATAGATTGATTGATGGATGCAATCCCTGATCAGACCAGTTAACCTCGTAGCAGTTTTAAATGCAAATAATACATAGTAAGAAAGGACCATTGAAAGCCTTTACAACTATAGTGAAAGTAATCCAGATAACATGTCCTGATGTAGTCCTTTAGTGGCGATTACCAGAAAAGTACTTTATGTCTGTGCCCTTGGCATGGTGGTGCATGCCTGTAATCACAGCACTAGGGAGGCTGAGGCAGGATGATTGCTGTGAGTTCAGGGCTAGTCTGGGCTACATAGCAATACCCTGTCGCAAAAAAATTTTTTAAAAATTTATAATATATATGTGGTCTGTGTTACCAAACAGATTAATTTTTAAATGTTTTAATCTTTGGAGGGAGTGGTACCAGGAATAGAGCTCAGGACCTGGTGCTTGCAAGGCAGATGCAGTGCCACTGTACTAAATCCCCAGCCCTAATATTTCAACTTAAGTATATAATTTTCAATAATTAAAATAGTGTTATAATTTATTGGCATGAATTGAGACATTTGAGTAATTCATTACACATTGCTTTGGTTCAGTCTTTGCTTCACTGTGTTTGTGGTTTTGTGCTTTTTTGAGCAGAATTTTTATTGGTACATTTTAGATATACATGATAGCATTCATTGTAGGGAATTTGTACCTGTACATGGTATGTCTTGCCTTTTTCCCATTCCCTTCAACTCCTCTTCCCCTCTTTATTTTCAAAAGCTTTGTTTCCACTTTTACCTTCTATTCTCTTTTTCCTCTTGTTCCTTCTTTCCTTTCCTTGTTCCCCTTCTCATTTGAACATTTTCTTCCCATTGCACAATGTTTGTTATTTATTTTGGTCCTTATGAAGTATTAGTTTTAATGAGCTTATAAGCATTGTCACCAGAAATAAATAAATTTATTTTTTCTGTAACCCCACACAATTCTGCTGTAGTCTTTTAATAAAGAATGTTTTCTTGCCGGGCGTGGTGGCACATGCCTGTAATCCCAGCACTCGGGAGGCTGAGGCTGGAGGATTACTGTGAGTTTGAGCCCAGCCTGGGCTACATAGTGAGTTCCAGGTCAGTCTCAACTACATAGTGAGACCCTGTCTCAAAAAAAGAGAATGTTTTCTGGATGATTCACAATTGTTTTAGAAATGTTAAACTCTGTGCATCAAATATTAAACATAGATTTATTTTTTCTGCTTTTAAAAGTAATGGAAATTATAAGGTACTCATAATACCACGGCACTTTTAGTGTAGTTTGTTCTGTTTCACTATTGGAAGGCTTTGATGGACATTGTTTAATCACTTACCTCTTCTAAATAGGCTGACAAACCTAGAGGATTTGCTAGAGGTCTTGATCCTGAACGAATAATTGGTGCCACAGACAGTAGTGGAGAATTGATGTTTCTCATGAAATGGTAAGTGGATAGCCAATTATGTTTTAAAGTGAGGGTAGATTTTTTTTTTTTTAACTTGTTACAGAGTATCTAGGAAAGGTTTTATACATTTCTATCGTAAGGTAGGGGGTAACTTTGTTGAAAGGAAAATTCTAGTTTCTATAACAGTTTTAAAGTGCAAACCATGACCTGTTTTGGAAAATGAAGTTCTTACCTGAGTGGTTCTTAGTTGAATGAACAATTCAAGCTTTTAACTGAATTTTTTTCTTTACAACAGGAAAGATTCAGATGAGGCTGACTTGGTGCTGGCAAAAGAGGCAAATATGAAATGTCCTCAAATTGTAATTGCTTTTTATGAAGAGAGACTAACTTGGCATTCTTGTCCAGAAGATGAAGCTCAATAACTTAACATCATTTTTATATATATTTATATATATATAAAATATGGGTCTTGGTTTTTGATTTGCTCGTGTGGAAAAAAACGCATTCTAATGAAAATCAAGTTTACTATGTTGGTTTTGAAAGTAGTATTTGGGGAAGTTGTTGGGTTTTGTTTGTTTTGCATCAATAGCACTGGTTACTTTGAACAAATAAAAAGCTTTCTGTAGTTGCTTCCTTTATGAGAAAATAGCATTGATAGCCTGATATGTTTCCTCTACTTTTCCAAATATTGGGGAAATTATCTATAGTCAAACAACTCATTTTTAGCTCACATGCTTAAGGACCATTCTGAGTTTTTTGTTTGTGTGTGTATAAATAAAATACTTATGTAAATGGTTTTTGTTCTGTTTTTAAACATTCACCAAAAAAAAAGTATGGGTGATAAGCCCATGTTTGTGATGCCATCATTCTGAGCAACCTAAGAAATAAATCACTTGGAGTTAAATTGAAAGTTATCCTGAAGGCCATAATCTTTCAAGTTAAATAGATGAGTCTGTAGTTAATTGGACAAAGTGAGTATTTTCAAAGCAGCTATATCTGTATCTATAATCACAAAAATACAGCAGTTTGCTTGCAGAATTCCTAAAAAGAAAAATTGTGTCACTACCAACAACTTCCCGACCCAGAAGGTATAGTCTAAACCTGGTTTATTTAGCTAAGGAATTAAGGGAATGTTCAAGATTCCTCATGACCCATTCCCTTGTAAGTTGAAATCTTAGTCGGGATTCATGGAAAGACTTGGGCTCATGGAAACCTACTGAGTGGCTGGAGGTGGTCACAGTTTAGAACCTGCTAGAACAAATGAGTGAACAAAACTTTAAATTATTGACCTGCATGTTTTTCTTGACCCCCAACTTGTTCCGTACATGTAGGCTCAAATCTTTTCAGTATTCAGGTTACTGTTTTTTAAACAGAAGCCAGTAAAATAACTTTGTAGTAGTCAGAATGTTATCCTAAATGTTATCCTTGTATATTGTTTACTTTATTGTAAATAATGGTGAGCAGTGGTCAATAAATAGTTTTATATTCCTTTATGTGGTGAGACTTTATCTGATTTCCTTTATAATGAAAGTGGACATACCTACACACCCTTACTATATTGATCTTCATGTTTGTAAATGAATACCACCAAGACAGTAGAGTACACATACTAGATCCTTTGAATTTATGAGTTTTAAGCTATTTCTGCAAATGTTTCTGATGGGGAGATAAAAATCGTGATTCCTAAGAGGAATTTGCCTCACAAAAAGTATTGTGATCTTTTTATAGTTTTAAAAAGTATTTTAATAGAACTAATTTTGTCAATAGACACCTATAGGATTCCAAAATCCATACAGAGAAAAGGGAAGTGAGATTTGTATTGAGTTTTAATAGTCAATGCTTTTGCAACAGTTTCACAGAAGAAAAAAACCTATTCTTATTAACAGTTGATAGCCTTACATTAAATTTTAGTACAGATATTTCTGCAAATGGTTGTCTTTCTCGGGTGGTGTATTTGTGCTATAACAAATTACTACTGATTGATGACAATGCAAATTTATTCTGGAGACCAAAGTGCAAAATCAGTCTCACTGGGCTAAGGTCAGTATTAGCACAGTTGTTCCTTCAAGGGGCACCTGTGGGAGTCATTCCCTGGCTATTCATTTCTACAAGTCATACCCACATTCTTAGTTCCTGGGTCCTACCATCTTCTAGAACAAGTGTAGCACAGTGATGGTGAACCTTTCAGAGCTTTCAATACAGCCTGCTGCAGAACATGTGCCATAGGATTGTGGGCTTTCATTGTCTACTCTTTTTTCCATATCCTGTTTATTGCAGCTGTTCTGTGGAAAGATGGAACCAAAGTATTCTGAATTTTTCAATTTTTGAATCCTAGGTTTTTAGAAGGGCTTTTTTCCCATATTACCCTAACATGTAAGAAAAATACACAACTTGTAACAAGTAAAATGGTACAGGAATAAAGCTTCCTCACTGGTATTTTCCCTCAATCCTAATAAGTTTAGTTGATGAATGTTTTATCCTGTACTATGATGTTTATTGTTTTAACAATTCTGTATTTTAGAATTTATTTTTCAGTAAATTATATTAAAAGTCTACCCTGTTCTATTTTATTTAGCTAAGAAGTATTCCAGCCAAACTGCTTGGATTGTAATCTGCCATCTATTCTTTGGTCTTTACAAACCATTTTTCCTCTCTGCCTCAGTTGTTTCATCTATAAAACATGCTTTATGGGCTGATACAAGGATGAGTGTGAGACATTTAAGAGTGGTGCTAAGTGTTTTACAAGATGTGTGTGGTTTTTGTTTTCTAAATTCAATTCATGGTTTTGCGGGTGGGGTGCTACCAGAAATCGACCTTGGGTCCTTACACTTGCAAGGCAGGCAGTGGCACCACTGAGCTAAAGCCCTGCCATTTTTAATGGCACTGGGACATAGCTGTTGGAGATTCCCCAGTTTAACCAATTGCAAAGTATAAGCAATGAGTGTAATTACTCAGGTTATATGTAGTTTTTCACTATTGGATTAATAGAGGTCTTTTGTAAATAAAGTTAAGATGAAAGGAATGTCACCAGTCCTGCTTTCCTAACCCTGACCCCCACTCTTGTGAAAGAAAATGCTATATTTGGGTTAACATTGAACTGTCTTGCCACCATGATTTGTGATGGGAACTAGAATGCCCACCCAAATTGGGATCCAAATTCCTTGGCCAGGCAGCACAATCTGGCAAACTCTAGAACCTCCCTTTTAGTGGAGTGAAAGCTGCTAGCAAAGGCCCACCAATGTGATTAAGGTGATGGAAACCCTACAGGGACCAGATGAAAGCCCCAAAAAGTTTTACAAGAGACTGAGGCACATAGAATGTATACCCCTTTTGATCCAACCTTGGCAGAAAATCAACAACTAATGAACACTGATTTTGTAGCTCAATCTGCTGCCGATATCAGAAAGAAAGTACAGAAGCAGGAAACTTGGAAAAAAATAAATATAACTCAGTTGTTGAAGCTGGCTAAGAAAGTATACGTGAGTAGCCCCAAAAGCCTGCACTGTTATTCGGCTGATGCCAGAACAAAGCCAGAAAAACTGCAACTGTGCTTTACCAGACATCAAGATTTTACAAAAGAAATAAAGTTACAAATTTTAACTATTGGATAAATGTATCAATTTGAGTTGATGTTTAATTGGTGTGCTTAAAAAATATTTCTTGTACATTGCAAATTCTTGAATTGTGGTTATAGGGTTAACTTGCTCTTTTCTGTACTTTGTTGATTAAAAACTCAAAAGGTAGTACTGATCTGTTGGCAGTCAAATTTTAAAATGTAACAATCGAACTAAAAAAGGGACACTGAAATTTTAACATCTGAAGACAAGTTTGTTATAGAAGGTTTATAGTAAGTGAGACAGGAAAAATACTAAGAAAGCTATAAGTAGAAGAAACATACTTTTGATATGAGAGGATTTTGCATGTTTGTTTTGTTAAAAGGATAAGGAGAGATATGCAAGACCAGAAGACCTAGGTATATCGAAAAGGTGTGCGGAAGTGATTTATCAAGAAAATAAATATGTTTGATTTTTGATTTCAAGTTTGTTATAAAAGGTGTGCATTTACAGGCATACTGAGACTTAATAAATATTACTTAAATATGTTATATGTTTACATTGGTTGTCATCAAAGGGTTAAGTTCTAAATATGTTATTGTGATATCTTTACACTGGTCATCTTTAAAAGATTAAATTTTCTGTGGAGAACAAAAGGCTTTATTGAAAAGATGCTTTTGGTGCCAAATTACATTAAAGGGCATAAGGTTTCATACATATGATTATGATTATTGTTAATTTTCTGATGTACTAAATGAATAAAAACTTAACAGTACTAAGAGACTATTAATACTTCAAGAGGCAAAATATAAATTTTATAGTAAAAGGCTCAAATGTGCAGCAAGTCAAATATTTGGGATTCCAAATTACTAAAGGAATGCGCTGCTTAGGAAATAAAAAAAAAAAAGCAAATAGCTCCATACCAGAACCTAAAACACAAAAGCAGTTGAGAAACTTCTTAGGAGCTGACAGGTTTTTTCAGAATGTGGATTCCGGGGTTTTCAGATATAGCCAATACAAAACCTTAAAAGGCCCAGAAGGACAACGTATGGGGTAAAGAACAACAGTCAGCATTTAAAAAGTTAAAATCAACCCTGTCTGCTGCCCCTCTATTGGGAATCCCAGATGTGACTCAACCTTTTAGCTTGCATGTGACTAAAAGAAACCATACTGCCTTGGGGGTGCTCACCCAGAAAGTGGACCCCTGGAACCAGCCAGTGGCATATCTATGTAAAAATTTTGATCCAGTTGCAAAGGGATGGCCCCCCTTATCTATGATGAGCTCTGGCAGCTGCAGTTATGCTGATTAAGGAAACTGATAACCTAACTTTAGGACAAGAATTGACTATTCAGTTCCCTATGCCATCCTAGAATGGCTGAATAACAGAGGACCTCAGTGGCTCAAATAATAGTCACACAATATCAGGCCCTCATCTGTGAGAATCCCCATCTACATTTTGTTCCAGTTAAAACCTTAAATCCTGCTTACCTTTTCCCCCTCAGAACCTTGCCCTCCTGACCACGATGGTCTCATTGTCACCAATGAGCTGTTCTCAAGTTGTCCAGATATGCAAAAAACCCCACTGCCTGATGCTGATTTCATCCTGTTCATGGTTGGGAGCAGTTTCATGGGAAACGGGGTATGCTATGCTGACTATGAAGTGATGACCCAGGATGAAGTGGTCCAAGCAGGACCCCTCCCCACCGGATGGTCAGCTCAGTGAGCAGAGCTTTGGGCACTCTTACAGGCTCTCCAGTGGACAAAGGGAAAGAGGATGAATGTTTATACAGACTCGCATTATGCCTTTGCTACCTTGCATATTCAAGGCATAATATATATACAACCCATAGGGGAAGGTCCATATGAGACACTTATGGTTATTCCCAAAGCTGTCAAGGTGGCTAAAGTCCAACCGTGGATCCACCATCCCAGGGGGAAATGAGTTTACCCAGAGGACTCCACAAACTGTGACATCATGAGCAACGCACTCAAAGTCCTGCTCCTGTCACTCCGGAGACATTCAACGCACAACTAAAAAATGAGAACTACAACCAGGATATTATGGACTCTTCTCACAGAGGAGGGCAAACAAATTAAAAATAAATAGGGCTGGGATTTAGCTCAGTGGTTCTGCTGCCTGCCTCGAAAGCATAAGGACCCGAGTTCGATCCCCAGTACCAAAAATGAATTAAATTACAAAAGAAATAGTTAATACAGTTGTTGGAGACAATGTGAAAACCCAATAAAGTAGCAGTGATACATTGTTCAGTGCACCAAAAAGAAAAATATACAATAGCAAAAGGCAGCTAAACAGAAACTTCAGGTGACTGTGCTCACCCGTGCACAAAAGAGAAA